CACTTGATCCTCAAAGTGGTTTTACCCAAATAAACACCACATACTTAATAGGAATAACTGGATGACCTTACTGATGGGCTTAAAAAAGGCCTTGAAAACAGAAACTGGAGCTAGACGTTGAAAATAAGATGTTTTACTGGAAGGTAGGTGCCAAAAGAACACACAAGCCTTGACAGCCAAAAATGTAAGCCAGGAGTTTTAAACGCCCACGTTATACCAGTGTGGCTCATGTATGTACTCTAAGATTTACAATATAGTTCAACCCACGATGCTTTGGCCAATGCCCAGAATCAATGTGCCAGGCTGAACGCTGTCAACAACAACTTTTGCACCAAATGTGTTTTCAACCTCAATCGAATCCTGTGGGGTACGTGTTGTAACCTCATGTTCCTTCAGAGTAAGAAAATGACTTTGATATTTTTCACCATGTACCACATCTACCTCTTCTTTACTTTATTTTTCTGTCCTCCCTCATCCACCGCCGCATGAGCTGCTGCTCCAGCACTTTAATCAGCTGCTCCACCCCTGACTGAGCTCATCTCTCCACGAGGGCCCATGTGTCCTTAAGTGTCTGTCTGTATCTCTTGCTCTCTTTCACGCACACATATACACACTCATGCACACACACACATACGTACACATACGCACATTCATGCACATCTGAGACAGACGGTACAATTTTCTGACAGACACATTCTCCCATCACACAGCTGAGTAGAAGGAAGAGATGCCTACTACTCTTGGGGCAGAAGGTGAAAACACACACCACACACAAACACAAACACATATGCATATCTCTCTATAGTTGTGAGGACACTCAATGACATAATGCCTCACCGGCCAATGGTGAAACAGCCATGCCATTAAACCCCCACCATTGGTCCAAACGGCCACGTGCCCACCCGTGACACGTTCAATGATGTGGGAAAACCCATACAGTCTATGGGGAAAACACAGTGCTTCAGCAACAACGACACTAAACAGCTGAACACAGCACAATCACAGATAACAGTGACAACAGTGAACAGTCCGTTACAATACATTTTGGGGCTATTTTGAGTTTGGTGGTCCATAAGTGTTTATTTTAAGTGGTCCTTGGTCTGAAAAAGTTTGAGAAACACTGATTTAGATTTTAAGAACAGCTCATTTTTTAATGGTAACACTCCTGAATGTGATTAATCAAAGCTTAATTTACAAAAAGAACATTTAAATATCCAATACTTAACTTCAGCTACTAGGAGGAGCTCAACAGTGAGATCCAAACGTAGTTGTGTCATGTAGTTTTTGTAGACATATTTTTTTTCTAAATTCATATACTGTGACCTTTGACCATGGAAATCTGATCAGCTGATCTCAGTTGAGAGACAACTGGTCAAAAATGGAAGGAAATCCCTCCAGTTGGTTTTGAGATATCATATTCAAGATGCCACTGTGACCTTGCCCTTTGACCACCAAAATCATATAAATTACTCTGTGAATCCAAGTGAACAGGTGTGACAAAGAATTCCTGATAAAAACAACAATCTCCAGTGGCAACCATGTACTTTAATCCTTTGATATAAATAACTGGAAACGCCCAGTGGTAGCCTTGTACTTTAGTCCTTTGATATAAATAACCATGGATCCTTTGATGTAGTTAACTTTGTTCCTTTGATCCTGTGGTTAGGGTTAGGGTTAGACTGTAGGAGTGATGGCACAGTTTCTGAAACCTTCGACTGAGAAGACAGCCGCTTTCAATCACGAAGACAACAGCTTACTAAATCTGCTTCCTTTACCAAAATGGCCACTGTGGTAAGATTCTTTTACCAATTCTCTTTGCCAACCTGCTTTTGACTGCTATTGATTCATGTTTTGTCTAAAGCTCAAATACACATAACGTTTGTTAAGTAAAGCTATTATTATAACATCTATTATACATCAGTACACATATGCGTGACAATTTCCCCATCAGCCTTAAATGCAACACCTGCAAATGTAATACTTTGCAGCCAATTCATGGTCTATTTAAGACAATTTGAAACCTTAATTTTGTTGATTTTAAATTAAGACTTTTAAGGAGCCGCAGGAACCCTGGTTAAGTTGGGAGTGGAGTTTTACTCAAGAAATCCATGTATGTTTCTATTTTTCAGGCTTGTGAACCAATGCAGCTCCAGAAGATAGGACAAGACCTTAATAAAGCCATAGATGAGACTAAGGCTATCAAACTTGATGCCCAGCCCAAACTGGCTGCTGAACACCAGAAGCTCAAGAACACTGAGGCCAGGTGTGCAACTCTGGAGGCATACATGCACCATGAGACAGCAAAGGCTGATAGATGCTGGAGCAGGGCAGAGGCTCTGGAAGAAGCCAATATTGCTCTGAAGGAGGAGCTGGAACTTTTGAAAAGAGAGAGGAGCCAGCTTCACTCAGACCTCAACTACAAGGATGAGCTCATAATATATGCAGTTGAGACAAGGAAAGCTCGCAAAAGATCCCAGGTTGACCTCATGGCCAAGCTGGCGTCAAAAGAAGATGAGCTCAAGAGCACTGAGGCCAGGTGTGCAGCTCTGGAGGCATGCCTGCACCACGAGACAGCAAAGGCTAATAGGTGCTGGAGCAGGGCAGAGGCTCTGGAAGAGGCCAATATTGCTCTCAAGGAGGAGGTGGAACTTTTTAAAAGTGAGAGGAACCAGCATCAAACAGACCTCAAACGCAAGTATGAGCATGAGGACAGCGTGAGGTGGAGTCAGCTTCAAGAAGAGCTCAAACGTAAGGATGAGCTCATAATATATGCAGTTGAGACTAGGAAAGCTCGCAAAAGATCCCAGGTTGACCTCATGGCCAAGCTGGCGTCAAAAGAAGATGAGCTCAAGAGCACTGAGGCCAGGTGTGCAGCTCTGGAGGCAAACCTGCACCAGGAGTTGACCCAGGCTCAGGCAACCTGGAGCAGAAACCTGGAGGCTCTGAAAAAGGACAATGTGGCTCTGAAGGAGAAGGTGCACCTTTTGAAAAGTGCACAGAGTCAGCTTGAGCTTGCAATAACAAAGATTGAGGAAAGGCAAGCTCATAGCAAACAAACTAACCGAAGTGACTCCATGGCTGACGTGACTTCAAACCAGGAGCTGCAGAGCACAGAGGATGAGCGTGAGGTCACACTTGAAACACCAGAGGCAAGTCAGGAGCTGGCTCAGTCTGAGGAAGAGTGTGGCAGTGAGGTGAAGCTGCCTCAGACCAAAGAGGAGTGCATCATCGAGGTGGAGCTGCTTCAGTCTGAGGGAGGATGCAGCAGTGAGGTGGAGCTGCCTCAAATGGAAGACAAGTGCAGCAGTGAGGCGCAGCTGCCTCAATCTGAGGGAGGTTGCAGCAGTGAGATGCAACAGTTGGTGATACTGAAGAATGTGAAGGTGGAGCACGAGACAGAGGAGAGTAAACATAAATCTTCAAACAAGAAAGCAAAGAACAATAAGCAGCTGCATCAGAAGAAGAAGAAGAGAAGGAGTCGAAGGCCTCACAGTTTTTACTGAAAACCGTTTACCCCTTCTTACCTTACTTACTTCTCCCTTCCCCCTTCCTACCCTTTATCCACTGCCCATTCTTACCCGTCTCTCCCACCCCTTACCCTTCACCTACTCCCCAAAACAAACCCTCTAACCCTCAAACCTCTGTGTGCTTTTGTAAGTAAAGATTGTAAATAAATGTAAAAAAACACATCAACCTGTGTACATATGTTTCTGTATACACAGAGACACAGGATTCATGGCTCTGATCAATTACTACACTATTACAGCGTTGGTGATGTCAAGTCAACAATACATGTCAACATTTCATCTTGTGCGCAACTCATTTTGGTGATGAAACAAATATTAATGCTCTCAAAGATCTGTGGGTCGGCGCGGTTCACTCTGACAACTGAGAGGAACACAATATAAACATCGTTTAGATCAGCCTTTTTCATAGTGTGGACCCCTAGTGGTCCGCAAGGTGACAAGTAACATATCATGTTTTAAAATTGAAAATGTCAGTGTTTTAATTTCAGTGTTTCTCAAACTGCCTGCGACATATATGTGTTGTTTTCAATATCAAATCAATTTGTACGTAAAATCAAAAAATATTTGTTTTGTGGCATTGTCTGACTTGAGCAGTGCAGTGGACCGGTTTGCAACACTGCAACCGTTTTATGTCAAAATAAGTGTGACCCTGCCGTAAATTCGGGAATGTGCCTGTGCAAAGCATGGATGTATGGTGCAAAGCTTCGAATTAAAAATGGATCAGTGGTTTAGGACCGGGTCATGTAAAAGAAAAGCAGACGAAAATTCGGACACGACTGGAAAAGTCGTTGAGTCCCAGGATGATGGTTTAAGGCCAGCGACGTCGTCAAAGCAGACCCAGATCCCACCGCAAACTCGACATGAACGTGAAAAATCCAACGCTAAGGTGAAACGAAAATACCACATCGACTACATACTGTAGCGTTCTGGCGTTGAACATTTGACGTTGGTTCTCTTTATCTCCACTTTATTTTCTATAACTTATTCAGATTACTGTCGGCCGTAACCACGCCAAAAGAACATTCAGAACCTCCTTTCCTTTCGCTCGCTTTCCCAGTCACACACACCTCACCCCCAACACTTCCTCATTCACGCCCCAACCTGCTCAAAACCGGCCAATGTGGAACCAGCCCTGCCATCCCATCCTCACCATTGGTCAAACGGCCACGTGCCCACCCATGACACGTTCAATGATGTGGGAAAACACAGTGCTTCAGCAACAACGACACTAAACAGCTGAACACAACACAATCACAGATAACAGTGACAACAGTGAACAACGCAGAACTCTCAGTCCGTTACAATACAATTTGGCACTATTTTGAGTTAGGTGGTCYGTGAGTGTTTTTTTATGGGTTAAGTGGTCCTTGGTCTGAAAAAATTTGAGAAACACTGCCTTATGCCACAGCATGCACGTGCAGCCGCTGACCTCTGAGGCTTTCCTTGCTCAGACATGACCTGGCTGTGACTCACCTATCTCGCAGCTCTCCCCAGAGAAGCCCTGAGGGCAGTAGCAGCTATAGCCATCACCTTCCTGCAGGCAGCTCCCTCCATGGAGACAAGGGTTGGTCTGGCACGGGTTATTCTCCACTGAAAAAAATAGAGAGAGGGACTGGTGAGTTATTTACTACAGATAAGAGCATTACAAAAATGTTGACAAACCATGACCAGGCTATGAGTTGGCATTATAACTGTCTCGTTATCCTTACCCAGCCCACCCTCTTGCTGCCCTCTGACAGAGATGAGAGAGAGAGAAGAGTGGACAGACAGTGCGTAGACCCATCCCTGCCTCTATGACTTTCTACAAGGTGACAGATGTTGCAACTGTCTTGCCCACTGTTTATCATGTCTGCTGCTCGCCTGGAAAATGACAACGTGCAGAGTCGACCCCCTCCTGCTGTTCTCCTGCCTCTCATCCCAGGTCCCACAAATGAGCCAAGGTCCTCATAAATTTCCTGATCATCACCCAATCAAACATAGTGGTATATTTATGGCACATAAGTGTGTCGCAGAGGAAAATAAACAGATTTTCCGTTGCTGTGCTATAACTCCACGTCTGTCCCTGGGATATGTTTCGGCGGATGAATGGCGGATATTAAGAAGATTAAGTCGTAATTATTGCTCTATATTTTTAGATGGAACAGAGGGAGGAATATGACAAGGATGGTTAGAGCGCAAAGCGGCCATCGGGATTCTTTTTTTTCTAAGTGCAAAGAAGGACTGGCGAGATTAAGTGTCTTTTTATTATGAAATTCTGATGGGATTGCAGAGTATAAGATGGCCTGACAAAATCTGTCAGGCCATCTTATACTCTGCATCTTCCCCATAATAACACCCAGACCCACTTAATCATGTATGAGTGCAGAGATGCTGTGCAGAACACAGAGTGCAGCTCCTCTGAAGTCTGGGAATACTGTCATTTTATGTGTGTGTGAGGGTTTATGTTTGTGTGTCAACATGTGTGTGTGTGTGTGTTTGTATTTCTGGATGCTGGTCTGACTCATTGCATGCTGGTGAGATATAATGTGAGTGTATGTTCAATTTCCTGTGAAGCAGGGTGATAGACTCCCACCACTGCTGTTGATACACTGGGCAGGGGAGTTGATGGAAGGGCTGCCTTTGAAAATACGTACGAGTGATTTGCTGAATGAGAAAAACCATTAGAGACAAGCTCATTTCTTAACACTGGAGAGGAGGAGAAAATACACAACACTGTACGTGATATGAAAACATATACTGCTTAAAGGTTAATGATATACTGATGGAGATAGTCAAATCTGAGAGTGCTGAGCAGAGCATGGCATGTAAAATAAAAACTGCACACTGACTGTTGTCAAACTGAGCGCCTGGTTGGGTCTGCTAATGTCAGGTAATGGAGGAGAACAAATCGAGGAAAGTAAGAGGTGAAGCGAAGGATCCATCCATCCATCAGAGGTGAATGTCGGCTGATAGACATTAAGGGCATACTCACACCTGAAAGTCTTCACCATGGTCCAAGGTTCATGTCTTTTGTTTCATTGTAAAAATTTGATCTGGTCAGTTTTGGTTTCACATTGTAATTCTAGGAGTGCATCAAAACTTTAGTATGGCAACTTAACTGTTGTCAGTTAAGCAAGTAGTAGTCTTTCTGTTTGATGGAGAAAATGTATGAATCAGTTCACATTGCTAACCACTGTAATATCACTATGGTTTTACTGCCAGGATCACCAACATCAGACAACATCTTGACATTAGTTCAAATCTTCCAAACAACCGAAATAGATGTTCAAACATCATTGAATGATCCTGTGAAACTGGGCAACTGTTTTCCTAGAGAGGCCAGTTAGGCTTCTGCTTCTTTCCCCCTTGTATTGTCAAATGCTGTCTCAACTTCCTGGTTTGAAAGTCTGAGTGAAAGTTCAAAAGTCTTTTCGCATTGCAAAAAGTGCACCGAGACCAACCTTTTGGTCAGACTAAATTTGGATCTGCGGGTTAAGACTGTGATCTGCAACACTTTTCCTACTTTTTATTTAGGTTTACACTAAACTGATGAATCAGAAGATCCAGAAGGAGATACTAGCTTAAATATGTTTCTCTGTTACATTCAGATTGTAAAACAACTTTCAAAATCATGTCATTGTTCTAGAGGCAGGCTTTTTTTTCATGCAACCTAATGCTTCATCCACATCAATTTGTTAATGTTGATGTTCCCTTTTACTTTAACCTAAGCTAAAAAAAAATTAGCACTAACCTCCACTGGCTATTTTCTGTGATGTGAACCTCACACTGACCCCTGCCAGCTATCAGGGCATAACCAGATCTGAAACTTAACCGAAGTCTTAACCCCAGCCATGGGGGGAAAGTGTACTGCACTTCTATTTGAGGGAAGAGATCAGACTTACATTTTCTGCTCCACTGAGTTGACCTCAGTCCACAGATAGCCATGTTGTGTTGAGCTTTGTTTTCTGAGTAGCTTGCAGTGAAGCTTCAGTTTAAAAAGAATCCTGAGTGCTTTCAATTATGATAAATCCTGATTTGAATCTGTTTCCAACACTATAGAATATATCCAATGTGATTTGACTTCCAATGTTTATTATAATTACTGGCTGCAAAATAATAAAGCATACAAACACCACATTGTCAAAACTTGGCTGTGTATTGTCGTTTTCTGTCAAATTGAGTGTGGGTGGATAAAAACATGTCATCGACAGTGTGTTTTCCTGAGGGAAAATAGAGTAGGTGGTGAGAGAGATTATCACCAAACTTGGTTTGCACTCACTTGAGGTTAAAAATCTAAACGGTCAAAGTACAGTATATTTGTAGAACAACCTTTTCCAATGGCTTTTGCATCACTTTTTAAAGAAAACGCTAAAAGTACCTTCAATGCCAACTGGTCCGTTTCTCTAATCCACTGTCAAATACAGTGTCTTTGTTAAAAGATCAAGGTCACATTTTATGAAATAGTAATGAGTTTAAAGCAGTATGACAGTTTGTGAATGCCATCGGAAAAAGCTAAACAAGGTCAACAAAAAAGTAGGTCTTTCAGTTCTATGGTAGTGATTTTGTTAGTAATTTTGCAAGAAAGGTATAAAATAAAGACAATGTTATTACAGCTCCACATCTCATTTGAGGTGAAGGGAACCCAGCAACTGTTTGAAAAGCTGAAACTTGTGAATATAAGAGAATCATGCTTGCAAACTGGATAATGCACAATAATTTGTGTCCTGGTTTAGAAGCATTGATGTATTATGGCTCTCTCCCATATTCCAGGTGTTTGCCCTTGAAACTGGTTGTGTTAAAAAACCTAAGGCAAAACAGAGAGGGGGGTTTTATATTACCATGTAAGGTTTTCAAAAATGCTGCATGCAAAACAGTTTGGGAACTGCATGAAGATTTGAAAGAAGAAAAAAATGGTGCTAACAGTAACCCGAGGCAGAAATTAAACCAAATACCCAGAGCAGAGCTGTTCTGTTCTAGACACAGATTAAGACAAAACAACAGAGGAAGAAGACTCCTAAGAAAAATAACAGAGAAAGAAAACACGATTCTAATAATAATGACCATCCTTTTTTGCATCAGACATTTTGGAAGGTCAAAGAGGGAGATGCACAGGTGATGTTACAACATTATAACTGCATTCCTTTTTAGTGAGCTACCTCAACAGTTCTCCACTTCCTTCACCATCCAGAATATGAAGCCCAAAGCTGCTTTCAGACATGCACTAAACTCTGCAGTGCCTCCGTATTTTCCCCAGAGCGGGTGCATGTGTGAACACAAATGTCCGGGTGAGAAGCTCAGCAGTTTCTGCAGACTTTCTCCATCTGGCCCCCAAGTATCATGTCCGTAGACATCCAGGAGATGTGTTTAAAAACAGAAATCTGTTTCTCCAACTGGACTTTGTGGACCGAAAGCAAAAGGCCCTCCAACAAAGAAGCCCCTTGTTGCTTTCGATAATGGTTAAAATAAAAAATTGCTAAGGTAAGTATCAAACTGCCTGTCTGGCATCTGAGTACATCTGCATGTGCTCATGGTTTCAAATCAGAGTCACAGTAACAGACTTTGACTCAGGAGGACATGTACCTGCTGCAGTGGAAAATGCAGTGATGCACACAGTGTAACTGACAGCTGAGGACTGGGTCATCAAGTAGCCTCAGTGACGATCACATCCAGAGCCAAGAGGTGATGTTATCATGACTGTCAGAGTCAATCACAACACTGAGAGTAAAACTGTAGCTCAGCCTCTGATGAGGAGTGCATTAGTGCTGAACGTGTTTTCTTTGTCATGAAAAATCAGTAACAAAAGTTCAAAAGTAAACCATTAAATTGTCAGGTTTTGAGTGGATGTTATTACCAACTGATAATTTGAGCACAGCCAGCGGGTGACATCTGTGTTTATTCATGTGTTAAATGCCTTGAAGACCTGAAAGGTGAATTCTTACTGGTCTAGTTTTTCTGACATAATTCAACTATTTCCTGGCAAAATTTCCCTAATAATGAGTTAAAGAAGACTTTTCCTCAGATACCATCCAGCAGCACTGATGAATGTTGGCTGTGCTGTCTGCAGTAATACAGACAAAGCACTGAGCTGAGGCAGAAAAGGACATTGATCCAATCTGCAGACAATTAGAAACGACTTATTACACACAAATGAGACTGTGCTCTTCACCATCTGTCCACATCCTGCACACTTAGCAGAAACATCATATGTACGGCAAACAGGAGAGACTGAGCGGTTATGGATTGTGTGACCGCAGCAACATCTCAGTTCAGGGAAATGTTCTGCATGAGTCAGCCTTTCACAGATAACAAAAACTGAGATGTGCAAGGATATAGTTTCTATGGATGATGTTTGACTTTTTTGATGATAATTAAGTCATTTTCAGACATTTTGTCTGCACAATGAGGTCCAGACTTTATCTTTCACACAGCAGGGGATTCCTCAGTCAGACGCGTTCACAACAACATCAAAATCTCTTCAGTCTTTAAGCGAGGCGTACTGCAGCATGCAGAGGGCAGGACGTAACTTTTAGCTTCCGCTTCGGAAGTCACATGTTTTTGTTTACAGCACATCAACAACGACGTCAGCCCTTATCACCAAGAGCTCTTGAATC